GTTATTTCCATTTTGGTGATAGCTTTCTTAATCAATTTAAACGGCTGTTTCAGCAAATTTACACATTCTGACATCTTTAAATATCGCTTTGTGATGGAAGTCAAGAACGACCGAAGCAAAACATCCCATATCAAGTCGCAGACTGTGTCAGTATGAATTTCTCTGCTAAGATCAGTATTTTAGTGAGTATAAAAGTCATCAAAACTTGTCATGAATCGTGAAATAGACGGCTAAGAAACTAGCAAAGTAGAAGGACCAGATACATTTCTTAATAAATTAGCGGTTCAGAAGATTGAAGCTCACAGCACCTGATGGATTGAAGATCATGATCATGTTTAAAAGCTTTCTAACACGTCATGTACAATCGAAGCAGAATATTTTACAATACTGGACGAATCATTTATATAAAAGATTTCATTTCCACTTCACTTTTCATGACAGATTTCGGGCAGTGTTCTCAACGTTCCCGATCCTGTGCCAGCATCTCCCAGCTTTGGCAGAAGACAAACGGAAGGAATCTAGAGCAGACTACACCAGTGACTAATCCAACATGCACATTTGTAATCACCCATTAGGATGACGGTTTCCGTAATCGACACTTAGTACCGAGCACACTCCACTTCCTGAAAGAAGGAATCATATTCTCCCTCTAAACTGGGCCATAGATCTGTGACAAAGTCAACGCTTAGCATGTTGCAGCTTCAGTCGGACGATTGCCACTCTTCTGCTGACAGGTTTTCATTTAATGATTCTAGTAGCCAGGCTGGGTTTTTCCAGAATACGAGCCTTAACGCATAGTGATGTAGTAAAATGGCTTCCATTCGCAAAGGTTCAGAATTCCAGAGACTTGACACTTCGCTGAGGACAATTCAGCAATATCGAGTCATTACGTTACGGCCATATCAACTAACTCCTGTATTTTCCCTCTGAGGGAGGATATATTCAAAATTCCGACTGTAAGTATCCACTGGCTGGCGGTGTCGTTCTCGTGAAACCTTTTCTGACGTGCTGTAATGGCATCGCGCTGTCCGCGTCCTCCTTTCAGAACAGGTAGTGACTCCGTTGCTGACTGGTATCTTCGTCGTCGTTCTGTCGGTTATTGTCAGCCATTGCTGTGCTGCTACGCACCGGCTGCCTGTGGGCGATGAGCAGGTTCTGTTCGCCGAATTTTCGCGGCCTGCCTCAGTCCCTCGAAAATCTTGCGCGGTCTTTGGTAACCCGAGCGATCACCGGGCCGGTCTAATGTTCGATAGTACAATATCATGAGGTGTCCGTGGCTAAGTCTTACGAAAACGTCGTCAGGTTCTCCAACTCTTCTCTTTTCCATTCCAGGCTTGCGACCGGCAACGGCGAAGTTACGATTTTTTCTACCCATTGATATTCCTCAGCAAAGCTGTCTGTACGAATTCTTTATTTCCTGCAAAACTTGTTTTAATTGATGGTGATTGATTGAATGAGGTCAAAAATAATGCGAGTCCACTTTATTTCGTTGTCATGGTGACCTAATGATAACTGTGTATCGCTGAGTTGTTTTCGTTTGCTTGCACAACGTTGTCACAATCGTATTTATTCATCTATGATTTTGCAATTTTTAATCAAAGCTATCAATTAACTTCACTTTCTATTTATCAGCTGTGCTTTTACATGATTTAGAAGTAATTGGGGCGTTGGTATCCGTGCTTCTTATATGGGTGATTACCGGCGTCCTGCTGTACATGGCTACTGAACGTCTGATATACAGAAACTATCACATTGAACCCAAGATCATGCTGACTGTTGCGTCAATTGGCGTTTGCGTTAACGTAATGTAAGTAGGCGTTGGTTGGTCTATATCTTTCTCTGCAATAAGCAATCTTTTAATAAACTCATATGCGTGTGCATGTATCCATCTCAGAATGGTCTGCGCCTAATTAATTTAAATTTAATTGTAGCTTTCAAGCAAGGCAGCGATGAAAGCGGTCTGTTCTATTGACGTTACTGTGTGATGCTCGTATATGATCATCAGAATGATCTGATGGTTTAAGAACTGACATAGTTGCTTTGTCAATCCGTTTTTATGCGGTTTCAAAACTCCATGAATCAACCCTCTATTAAGTCTATTAGCCTATTATACTATCGTCAGTGACCAAATTGCCTAAACCGTGAACCCCGATGTGCAACAGCAAATGTAAACATGAGGATAAGATCAGTGACGGCGTTTACTACACAGAAGAATGCGTCTCGCAGCTGCGTCTTACACAATGTTAAAACTTATCCCATATCAGCCTTAAAAAAGGACGAAAATGCCTTAAGAACCTTATTGCAAAAAGTCCTTGTGAGAGCAGTGCTATCGTGAACTCACTTCCACATGATCATAGGTGTCGGGCTCGATGGCGTTTTGCGCAGCGATGTTCAGTATTTTACGAATGAGACATAGTCAAGGATTGATTTAACAGTTTACAACTAATATGTTGTGAAAGGCACTCTTCACAATGCCCAATTCCTAACTCTGATAGATCCATTTATATGGGCTGTCTTCCGATTCTTAAATGGCCATTCGCCTCGAACCGTGAATCTCTCTCCCATTGACGTTTGCCGCGACCAGCCTGAAATGTTTTGAATGCTTACGTCAGCCAATCGCTGCTTGCACGACGACGAATCAAGTGGTCAGCGATCGGCGATTTGCCAACATGCAGGCACTTGCAGTCCCTGCATCCTCCCATCGCTTATCGTAAGAGGCAGGATCGAATATGTATCCGAATATTTATAGCTAGCATATTAATAATTAGTTGGAAATGTCCGTTCATCTCATTCACTCGATCAATTTTGTCCATCTGTTTTTTCAATTTAGCACTTTACCATAACATTTCACTACGTAGCTCTTCGCAGTTTCGATTTTTTTCTCCATAAATGCTCGCCGATGATGATTGCTAATATTATGACTTTTGAGATTTTGTTCTGGCTATCGATTATCTACCCATAATCATTATGTTATACTATTTAATTGTTCTTATCCCTTTTGTTTTCCAGTTCGTTGATTAAAATCTGTCAATCGCAGGCATGTTGGTTTTACTGTTATATTTCGATTCATCTTCATGTCGCTAAAATTTTACTATTGCTTCTTTTAGTCTTTTCCTTAAGTTTACCAAGCTCCAAGTCATCCACACAGGGCAAATTGAAGCGTGTAAGAGGCTGATTTAACTCTTTGCACAATATAACATAAGGTCACTTCTTTCCTACGTAGTTCTTGCCTGATGCAGTGGTTTCAATATTTAAAACAGCCGCATCGGATTTTTCTTCAAGTTTCTCTCATATCAGTGTGGAATTTGATCCAAAGTCTTAGCACGATAGGCAGTTACTTATGTCGTAAATAATGTAACCAAACTTAGTGAAAAGATTCTTGATGACCAAGAACAGTAAAAACACCATGGTTTATGTTTATGTAATTCAAGGATGGTAGCAACGAAGAATAATTTCAGGCCGGTCGAATGTAAGGCAGTGGCAATTCGTAAATCCGCAGTACTCTTTGCTTTTTTTTACTTTCTCGTCGTATAGGTCATGTTCTTATGAATGTTTTGCTCATAAGCATATGAACGTGGTGGCGAGTATGTCAAGGTATGAGTTGATGTTAACGTATGAGTTCAAAATAAGCCAGCAACTCTTCATTTTCGTCTTCTACGCTTTATGTTGAGTTTATATCTTTTTATTGTAGCCTCACTTTCATGAAATCATATCTAAGAATATCATACATCTAATTTTTTCCACGCTGCATGCAGACTACTGTCGATAGAAGGAAAAATGATTTTGTGAAAGACCTTTATGCCGTATTTTAACATGCCATCGATTTGCTGATTTTTTTTTGATATCCCTCATATACTGATAGGCCAGAGATAAGGGCGTCTCATATAGCAGCTACTTCAACGCAATAAATGTTTAATTTCTGGAGACTTTGCTCAGGGTTGTGATCCGCTGCTCATTTTGTCAAGGCAGTAAAAGATTTTATTACCAAAGAGGAAAATCTAAGAATGCCGTCCTGGTCCTTACTTAAGCCAACTTGTTTCCAATCAAAGCAAATCGAAACACTAAAGTTATCTTCATTGCTTCCTCAACTGGGTAATATTTTTTGACAGACTCTCTGTCATTGCTGCTGTTAAAGATAACGTCAACAGTCAAGTTTTTGTTTCATTTGAAGTTCACTCGTTTCACTAGTAGTAGATTTACTGTGACGGATCTTCATGCTCTCATGTTCAGAATGGGTTGCGTGCTGCACCGCTACAGCAGCCATTCGCATGGTTTCAACGATGAAACTCGAACTCGCCAATCGAATGCCGTCAATGACACTGATGACAGATCAAGATCAAGTCGGGATCAAGAGAGCACACCACTTAGAAAGTCGAAACCAAAGAACATCAATGTCAGGGCCGCCTTTCTGCACATTCTTGGTGATTTTATTCAAAGCGTTGGTGTAGTAACCGCGGCATTCATAATCTATTATCGAGTAAGTGCATAAATATGTGTATGCAAATATGCAGCCCCAATCTCTTGTGAAATGTCTAGTTAGTCTGTTCAACACTACTTGCTATCATTTGAAATCAACACGATTAGCTCACCAGAAGGTTACAAGTAATATTTTTATTGAAGATTGGGTAAGTACCAAAGTAAGAATTGCACATAAGAAATAAGTAAGTTGAGGCATGTTTTCGTGACGATTATGACAACCGAGAATACTCATTACAAACCTTGAATCTGTCTACTGATGAAGCAACATCAACCAGGAGTAGATAAACCTTCTTATGTCTATGATATCTGTCTAGAAAACGGATGTTTGGGCTAAACTTTTTTATGGGTGGATCAAGGACACCACTCATTTCTTTCGCAGAAACGAGCCATGGAAAGGCAGCTTTCAATCCAATCTTCAAAATGATTACGATTACGACTTTTTATTTTCAGTTCACTAAATGAACATCGAGAAATAGGTAAATTACCTGGTTAAGGGGCTTCAACCGCCAAGATAAAACGAAGTTCTTAATACATGACTCATTATTTTTCGTTGAAATTTATCGTCTGTGTCTACAAATAACTCATGACCAGTTTGACGTTTAACATGAACAATAGAATTTTCAAATTAGCCAGTTGGTAACTAAGATGCTTTGCAATTACTTTTAATTTTTAGAGAGACTTGGAATTCATTGATCCGATCTGTACGATAGTGTTTGCAATCGTCGTTCTATTCACTACACTTAACGTCATGCGAGACGTTGTGAACATATTAATGGAAGGTAACAATATTTTAAAGGATGGTCGACTTTTAGGAACAAATAAGGCATGTTGTTGTTATTTATTTAAATCACCACCATGATCTGTTTGCATAGGCAGGACGACATCGATGTGGTACGACTAATTTTAAACGAAATTCCACCGAAACCATATGATGATTGTACCTAAGGCAGGTTCCACACCTTAAGCGAGTTTCGCGTTACGAACTGTGTTATTTGCATGTGCTGAGGAGGTGCTAGTATTGGGTGCTAAGATTTCTATTGGGGTAAGTGCAAGTCAATTTGGTGAAATCACATACGATGGAATAGGGTCCCGCTGACGCATATGCTTTTTGTCCCCGCGAAAGCTTCACAGACGTTTGCCGTTGTCTTGTCCTTAGTGCTGTCAATACTGTGGCCTTTGAGTACTCGTGGCAATCTGCTGTATTCTGCGCCCACTTTCTTGTTTAAGTCGCCTGCGATGCCAAGACGCACCAGATCGTTGACAGCTGACTGCTAGTAATCATAGGAAGCGTCTTTATCGCTATCACTCAATACATTTGTTAGGGCATAGACGATAGTGGCATCCAGGATCGCATTTGGGACAAGAGGATGCCTATACCGCACTGCGTAACCTACTGAATAACAACTAAAAGACAAATCTTGTGAATAAGTTAAAATTTAGGTGCTTGTTAGTGTCAGGTTACATCGCTACGCGTTAATTATATTTACCCATTATTCTTACCAGCAAGACATACCCTGGAGTTAACTGTTTTCTCTTAAATTTCTGACAAGCAGGGATTATGACGTTCTTTCAAAAAACCCACCCTGTTTCAGTCAACAACAAACGTTCGAATCTCGTATCACAGATGCTGAGAAGCAACTGCCCGTATTTTATCCGCAACGTCCAAACTGGCATCCCTCGAGCGAAAATTTACAAAGCCGCCGAAGATGCAATTCTCTTCGAAACATTTAAATATTCTTAAGACTCACTTAACGTCGTACTCTTAAGCCCCTCTACTAAGTAATTCCTATCTTCAGTGCTGCGTAGAACAAGCATTGCATGAAAATCTGGCCGAAGATTAATGCACTGAACCTAGTGCTCCAGCCGCCAATTTTAAAGTCAATGATCAGATAGTTGAAATGTGTAATTTCATTGAAGGGAATGTCCTAAAGCGATTTCTAATCACTCGGTGAATTCAGCTTTGTTGTATTTGAACCCCTTGAGTGCCTGGATGCGAAGCCAGATCTTGGCACAAAATCTGCATACGTGATAACGCATTTCCATAAGTGGCTCCACAGATTTGACACCTAACTAGTGTCAGGATTTACAGCTTCTGCTAATGATCAGATTGACTAAGCAGCTATCAAGTGAATTAAAACAAATTTTAAGGTGGCCTGCAAAATTAATGGAGTTTTGCATCAATGTACAATACGTGCTAGAATACTAGGACGATATGATCTGCTTAAGTGCTTCTATGCCTCCAAAAACTAAGGAGCAATGAAATTAAATTGCTCAAATCTGAAAAAGACGAGTTCCGATTATGCCCAACGGTTGAAGTCTTTAATTGTTTTATCAAATAAGATTCTTAAATAATGATCTGGAGGTGGTTTATCTGATAGATTTTGAGTATTGCATAAGCGGTTTACGAACTATATTTATAAACTGACATAACTGAATCCATGCTTGTTATAAATTATGGATATAAATGATAAATGTTGTGGAAATCGAGTGAAAACTTGTTTATAGGCTCGCCCCGAGAGATCAGTTTTGCTGAGGTACTTGCCGGTCTGACCGCATTAGATGGCGTCGAGAAAGTGCATGATTTGCACATCTGGTCACTCACCCTGGACAAGGTTGCCGTTTCAGTGCATCTAGCTGTTGAAGAAAGCAAAGACTTTCAAGCTCTTTTGAACCGTGGTATAGAACTGCTTCGGAAGCAGTTTGGAGTTTACGAATGCACCATTCAAATTGAACGTTATTCAAACGACATGGACAATTGCTGTCAATGCAAAGCTTTAAATAATTAATTATGGACGTTCTTTTGGCATCAGTATTACAAGCTGAGCGATTGGCTGTTTCTGTGTTCACATTCGCATTTCATGACCTACGCATCTACGAGCTACGAATAACACCTAGGAATTGCTCTCTTCTGATGTGAGTATTAAATTTGGTTCACATTAAAATAGATTTTGGCTTTATTGGGCACTGAAAGCAATTAGAAACCTTTTAGTAAACAATACGCTCAGATTCACTTGTGGTCGTAAAGCTGAGTACACGAAACCTCCGATATTGGCTTTTATTCAAACCAGCTACAGCAAAAGAGCAACGATAAAAATATTACTTCACAGCACGCGACAGGGTTCATTCTGAAATGGTCTAGGAGCTAATTTAGAAATGATTCCGTTACTCATTCTCGAAGTTGTGCATGAAATGAAATGAAACCATAGCTACAATTTCCCGACTACAAGTCGACAGTGGGAAGGCCGAAACCATATTTTCCACTAACGCTGTTCAAATCAATATGGAAGAGATTGACTCAGTCAGTGAACTCCTATTAAGAGAAACATGCCAAGAAACAGCTGTTTTAATCAATGACACTGCTGAGTATACGTTTCGAAAGCCGATAATTGTCTTTTTATTAAATGGTATATATTAGAACTAACATTAACTCCGCCATAGCCGGTCCCAAGCCCGGATGAGAAAAGAGGAGGGTTGGAAACCGTGGCAAGTCTCCGTAAAATTCAGCCACCTGTCACTCATGGTATTGACGCCATCGAAAATTATACCGGCTCGGTCGTAGCCCGGGTTACCAAGGGCCGCGCAGGCTGTTGGGGGACTGAGGC